CACACACACACACACACACACACACACACACACACACACACACACACACACTTCTGCTTTTTGCAAACCTAAGGATGGTTAGTTCTCATCTGTACACTGTATATATGATTTCTCTTCTTTGTTCTGGTTTGGGTATTAAAAAGATGCAAGGAAAACATAATCTCTTACGCTTAAGGCCGAGGGTAACGCTGGATCGCAGAACTAGGTCCTTCCATGGCAGGATGTGGGCATTTAAAATGCACCCCTGCAAACGGACCCCTGAACCTCACAGTGAAGGTGGTTCTCTCTGCATCCTCCAGACTTCCTGGTGCTAGGAATGGACCAGGAGAGCTCAACAGCTATAGAATTACTTAGAACTCCCCCTCAAGTAGGAGCTTGGCTCGAAGACTAAAACCCTGTCCACGCTCTCTCTGGGCCCACTCAGCCTCCCCTTCACCCACTCCTAAGCAGCCAGATGAGATTGTAAGACTGTATATCGGCTTTGATGGTGCCACCAGGAGTTACACCCTTTTTGGACACCACATAGGAACACATGGCCATGGATTGTACAGGGTCACTGGGAAGGGAGACTCTGGTAGTTTTACTCATGAGAGGATCTTTCCATAACATCAGTCCCTGGAGGGGTGGGGGTGGGGGGTGTCTTAGCTTGCTTGTGGTGGCCCAGAAGGCAAACCCAACAGAAACCGTGTTATCAAAGTTGAACACAGGACTGGAAAAGGCCGTCCCTCTTATCAGCAATCTCTGAAACAGTTTTTTGATCTATAGTCACTCATCCTGTACGTGTGGTAACTGTGCACCGAGGAAAGAAAGCCCAAGGATGCTGTTAGGTAGGATTCCTCCAGCTTTCAGGCTGTGAAAAGGTCCATGTTAGTATTCTGTCTAAACTCCACCTCCACAGTTACCTGGCAACAGCCAGGTATGCTCCTCCCCACAGTTACCTGGCAACAGCCAGGTAGGCGTGCCCACTATAAAAGGGGCTGCTTGCCTCCCCCTCTCTCTCTTACTCTCTTACTCTCTTGCCTCTAGCTTCTCTCTGTCCCCTCGCCCTTACCCGCTTCCTTTCCCCCTCTCTCCACGTGGTCATGGCTGGCCTCTACTCCTCTTTCTCTGCCATCTTCTGTTTCTCTCCCCCCACCTTTGTCCTCTGCCCTGAATAACCCCTCCCCAACACACACACTTTGGAACCGTTTGGTCTGGTGTTGTCTGTTCTAAGCTGCGCTCCCGAAGTCTAACAGTCCACACAGGTTTAGTTTAAAAAGAAGACCCTGCATCCTTATGAAACCAAATGTGAAGTTTATCACACAGGGAATGAGTCTCCCACTTAACACTGACGCAACACAAGCAGTTCTTCCTTGCTTGCCAGGGAGAAGTTCGAAGTTAACTTAAATATTATTACACTAGGACTCGGCCCATGGATTTTTAAAATGGAGACTGTACTTCTGAAAAGACCAAAGGGAGAACACAGTGCAAATAGTGTGTGTATATATATATATATATATATATATATATATATATATATATAATATTTCCTGTCAAGTTCATGCGATGACGAAAAGCTGGTCACAGGTAAACTGCATTTTAAAAAAACTTAAAAACTAAGCTAATAATTTATTAGCTAATTGGGTCACATATCAGTAAGTCATGCGCAACAATTTCTTAGCGTCACTTTAACATCTTCGTTGTGGGGTAACTGGTGGATATTTTTAAAAGTATGACTATTGGAAACTTTTTAGTCATTTTTCTTTCTTTGAATACTTTATTATTATTATTATTATTTTTTAACAATAGTGTTAACGAATCAGTAGGTGAGAAACTAAATGGAGCAGTACTAAACTTCCAGCGTGTGTACACTTATGTATACTTTAAGACCGATTTAAAAGCCTTGCTAGCAGAGAGTTGCACACATAAAGAAAACTAGATAAAGCACAATGCTTGGCTTCTCAAAGGAGAGGCCACACACACATCAGTAGACTCTCAAGCTCGGTTCTAAACCTTTCCGTTGGACGGTCTTAGACTTAGAGATGGTGACGGTGCTGACGGCATCTGCCCTCCTTAGAGACAGTCCCTTGGAACTGGGTTTGTACTGGGTGCCCACTGACCCCCACACACTTAGAACTGATCAGCAACAGTGGGCTGCTGTTAGCTCTTTACGGGTCAGGAGACCCGAAAGGGCAGGACGCTCATGGCTCCGAGGGAATAGCCATCCCTGTGTTCAGAGGTATCCCTTAGAACTATTTGACCTCAGGTCATAGAACAAAACTTACTTAAAAAGTCATCCAGGACAGATCAGCCTGGGTAGGTGGACATTAGAGATTTGTAAAAGTGTGGTGGAACCACAGTAATCAAATATGAAATTATTATTGATTAATTAAAAGAACTTAAGTCTTTATTTCTAAACTGTTGCATGAGGATCTCAGGGCACAGTGTCCTCCCCACACCCCCAGGCATTCAATCAAAAGTATAAGTTAGAAAAAAAAAAATCCCAACACTGCTGATGACTGTAAGCCTCGTGATGAGAACGTTTGAAACTTGAACATCAGTGACTTCTTCGTTATGTATTTCTGAGGTGACTGTCAGTCTGTTACTTCTTAGGGCTTCCTATTGTTTCTCAGAAACACATCCTGAGGCTGTAAGAAAGTTCAACTCTTGCTCTATGGAACCATGCACTGAAGAGATCATTTATTTTAGTTTAGAAAGCATAACTGGAGGCAGTTCCTCCCGGTGTCTAACCTGGTTTAACTTAAAGTTTAATTAACCGGAAAAGAAAAAAAAAAGAAAGAAAGAAAAGCAAGGAAGAAAGAAAGAAAAAGAAAAAGGTAAAGAAAAGCCACATCCCCACTTCCCAATTCACAAAGACAAGTTTTTCTTCAAAAATATGCCTGAGACACGTTACAGATACTATCCCAAGTGATTAGTATGTAAACATTGTCATTACAATGAAATGACACATTCCATTTCACATTGTAAACAGCAGGACTGAATGCAGCAGCCTATTTAGACTGTCCAGTGTTTGTGCAGGTTTTTAAATGAACCATACAAAATCTACATTGTTCTACCTTCTTGTCAAGAGGATCCATCTGTTTCCAATTATTGGCCTTTAACTGATGAAGTTCATCAAATTTCATACTAATATTTTCTATGGACAACTGCAGCATGTCCCAAAACCCCGCCAAATCCTGGGAAGTGGGTCTCGGGTGAGCATTGGGATTCTGTGCAAAAAAGAGAAAAACATTGGTGCTTTAGAGGGGCGTGACAGCAAGCAGGATCAAGAAGGCATTTTCGAACATTTCAAAGAACCTAAGGAGGCTGGGTTCCTTTTGGCTTTTTGACAAGAGATAAAAGCAAGACTGCAAATGGTAATTTTCTACATGCCCCAACTCCAGTTCGAGATCTTCAAATGTCAAGGTTGTGAAGTTTCTCTGTCCTTACAACAGGATGGTTGTTTCAGTCTGATAAGTGGGGAGAGTCTAAACATTTGAAAAGTCCTCAAGTGTGCTATCTCTTACTGGACATATTTTAAAACACTATGTTTAAGCAGAGAAACACCATCTGTTCATTTATAATTTCATGCCACAACAGTTCAGTCAGAGAACAGAGGAGAAATCCAGAGTAAGATTCGGTTTAAGACTCATGTTGAGTGAAATAGTAGGGCACAGGATTGATCAGCAATCAGGTATTTCCAAAATACTTTGGGTGGCGAGGTTTCAATGACGCTAGAGACTGAGCCCCCAGGGTTTGCATAGTGGAAACAAATGATCAACCATGGAGACACATATCTAGTCTCTGAAACTATTATATGTTCAGTAATTGAGATATTACTAATGAATATAATAAAGAAAAAATTTGTCATATAACACATTAGAAATTAGCTGGTTTTAAATATACCAAAAGTTAGAAAATATTATCTTTATACATACATATATGTGATGGTAATAATTTCCTTTTTAGAATAATACCTAAAAAGGTGTTTAAGAACTAACTCTTTAAACAATTACCTAAACACGTTATTGTTATCAACCGGGCATAGTTGTGCGTGCTTTTAATCCCCGTACTTGGGAGGCAGAGGCAAGAGCATCTCTATAAATTTGAGGTCAGCCTGGTCTACCCAGTGAGTTCTAGGACAGCCAGAGTCACATAGTGAGACCCTGTTTAGAAGAAAAACTCCAAACAAGCAAAAATTTATTAGTATTACCTTTTGTGTGTGCATATCACAACATGCAGGTGGAGATCAGAAGACAACTTTATAAAGTTAGTTCTCTCCTTCCATCCTCCTGAGGGTTTCAGGGGTTTAACTCAATGTCATCAGGCTTGAGAAGCAAGTATCTTTACCCATCAAAGTCAGCTGACCAATCCAAGAATTGACTTTTGTTAGTTCATTTGCTTGAGAGCTTGCTGTGTAATTTATGCTGCCTGGAAATCTCAACCCTCCTGCTGCAGCCTTCTGAGCGATAAGATTGCAAGTGCACATTGTCACACCTGGCTCAAGGTGACTTCGTTTGTCCCCGTAATCAAGTATCTCTACCGTCATCACCAACACCCTCTGCCAGAGCAGCTGAAGGTATCATAAGCAGACAGTAAGAGTCTTCCTCCCTTCCATGAGTCAGGAGCTCTTAGTCAGTGCCATGTCTGGTTATCTCTTAGTATAATAAATAACTGTTCACAGTTATCACGTACTATGATAAATGGGGCTGGCTTGTACATTTAAAATTAGCCCCAAGGAAAAACTGGTACCATCAGAATTTCAGAAAGCAAAGGTCGATGGTCATCTAATTGTTTAAAGGTTGGAAATGACATTTACACCCGAGGATGAGTTAGAATGACTGGCCTCAGCCAAAACAAATGCAAACAAAGGCGCCGCGTGTAGTTCTGAGACTACCTATAGTTTCTGGGGATCTTAGCATTAGATTCTTATGAGATTCCTGGCAGTAGATTACTTTTTAGAGTTTTTAAGTGCTTGGTTCAATCAATATTAAAATCTGTTCTAGGGATGGGAATGAGTGTGGCTTTTGGTATATGTTCGAGCCTCGGGTTCAGTCTTTAGCACTTAGTCAAATCAAAATAAGACAAATACAACAAAACATAAAAATATTCTAGCGATACACTACTTGAATGAACAAAAGGGGTTCTTTGGAGTATTTTGACATAGTAAACAGCAACTACAATGGAAGTCCCTCAAGGGGTATGGAGGAGGCAAACACCAGAAATCCTATCAGCTGAACCAGGTGCCTCTCAACTTAGAGGCTACATAACAAAAACAACAACAAAAGAGCTAAGGTGATAAAACAAACAAGCAAATGGACCCCTCCATATTCAGAGCACACAGCAGATTTGATGAGGCATTTCTCAATAGTTTATGAGTCCACAAATATTTAGCCTTATCTATAATGGATTTTGGAGGTCAGTGACATTTTCTTGGTCACAGGTTTTAGTGCTGTATTATTTTAGCACCAAGGGTTTCTCGGCTGAAGTCCTTGGGACCAAATGTTGAGATGTCAGATTTAGGATTTGGAAAAATTTATCTATCTGTGTGCAGCGAGACATCTTAGAGACAGAATACAAGTCAATGTGAAATTCATATATATGTCACATACACCTAATACACAGTCTGTAGGTGATTATATACATTTTACTGCATTTTGACAGTACTGACTATATTTTGACATTTACCTGCATTTTGATGGTAATATGTATATGAGGTCAGATGTATCAAAGCTTTCCTGTCCCCAGAGTTTCAGAACTTAGAGCATTTCTGATTTTGTGATTTTTTTGGTTTGGGCATGTTCAGCTTACAGTTAGTAGTAGCCTAAGCTTCTGTGGTAGTTCCTCAGATGTGCTTAACTCTGTCATGGGCAACCTGGGCCTTGCCCTAAAGGAATCTCTTTGCTCCTTTTTGTCAAAACTACGAAGGAGGAACAAGGAGGTCTTAAGAGTGATTCATCTCTAACCCAGCCATTGTTTGACAGAGTGGCTGAGTCTGAACCAGATCATCTCTGAGATTACTGGAAGGGGGAGCATGGGTCCTCCTGGTTTAGTTATGTTGGAGAAAAAACAAGTTTCATCCACTTGCTCTAAGCTTGAGAATCTAGTCTTGAATAAATGTGTTTTCAAACTAAAAAACTGTCCCCCCTCTTCTGCTTCCTTTTTTTTTTTTTTCCTCAAAGGAAGAAGGACTATAGAAAGAACAGGCTTAGGCTGGAGAGATGACTCAGCAGTTAAGAGCCCTGGCTGCTGTTCCAGAGAGAGATCCTGAGTTCAAGTCCCAGAAACCACATGGTGGCTTACAACCATCTGTAATGGGATCTGATTTCCTCTTCTGGGTGTGTGTGGAGCTAGAATGTGTTTGTACATAAATAAATAAATAAATATTTAAAACAAAACAAAAACAACAAACTGAACCTGGCCCTGAACAACCCCTATAGTCACTTAAAAAACAAACAAAAACTAAAAGAAAGCAAAAAAAAAAAAAAAACCCCAACCACCATATTTATTTATTATGTATACATATTGGCGGTGCTGGAATCAGTAGGCGGAGGTCAGATGATGACAACTTGAAGAAGCTGGTTCTCTCCTTCCACCATATGGGTCCAGGGATCAAACTCAGGTCATCAGACTAGGCAGCAAGCTTCTTTACCTACTGAGCCATCTTGCTACCACTAGAGTGACTCCAGGTCACACTACTCCCTGGTGTGACTCCCTCTGCAAAAATGAGGGATGGGATTTTTAGGGACAGAGGCTGAACAGACAAGGGTTAGAACTGTAACTGTAACAACAGCCATGGGCTGGTTGGTTAGTTTCTTAACTTTTTATACCCATTTATCCCATCTGTAAATCATAAAAAAGTATGCCACTAGTAACTCCAAATGACCATTCTGGGGAGTTAGCCAGGGCATCTGGCATGTGTAGGTGCAGGAGTTCTTCATAAACCTTGCCTGAGCAGCACCAATGACCTTCCTTCCTCCATTGGTGTGCAGTTACCTTAAGAAGGACTCTTCTAGTTCATCACATAAATTTCTCTAGCGGCCGTTGACTGGAGCCACCATGAGGAACGAGGACATGTCAAAAGCTGGCTTTCGGTAACTCAACAATTTCTAGAAACCAGCACACATATGATTCCTGCAATTTCATCTTTAGAATATGCCCAGTATTTATGTTCTACTTCCCAGTTCACTCAGAAACTCGCTTTTCAATTCCGTCTTTACATTTATTCAGCATGTGTGTGTGTGTGTGTGTGTGTGTGGTGTGTGTCTGTGTGTGTCTGTGTGTGTGTGTGGTGTGTGTATGTGTGTGTGTCTGTGTCTGTGTGTGTGTCTGTGTGTGTGGTGTGTGTGTGTCTGTGTGTATGCGTGTGTGTCTGTGTGTGTGTGGTGTGTGTGTATGTGTGTGTATGTGTGTGTATGCGTGTGTGTGTGACTGTGTATGTGTGTGTGTGTCTGTGTGGTGTGTGTGTGTGTATGGAGATAAAAAAAGAAAAACTCTTGAACTCAAGTCATCAGCTTGTCAGCAAGTGCCTTATGTAAGAAGCCATCTTCCCATGCCTAGACTAGAGTCCTTTGAGGAGAGAACACAGTGCCTATGACACAGAGTTAAGATTCTAAAGCCCCGTGGGGGTCATTTGGATGCCAACCATGTTTTCAGTTGACACACATCTGTAAACTGTTTTAGATTTGCTTTGTTTTAGAGTCAGCCTGACCGGCAACTGAGCAATAGAAGCTGTGTTTGCAGAGTCGCTCTTGGAAGACACCGGCCTTTCTGAGGCCTCCTCCAAGACACTCTTGACCTCTGTTTCACTGCTAACTTTGCAAATGCTATTACTGTTACTGCTGCTGCCGGAGGCCTTTTCCTTCCTTTGTTTCTGTATGTCAGCCGAAGATGGAGCACTTGCTTGTCTTGGTATCTCATCTACATTTTGTGATACCCCCCAACCTCTGACTTTTGAATTAAAACAAAACTCACATCAGGAGACACAGTGACTGATGGCTTTTTAGAAAGAGTGTCATGATTATTATCACTGTAATTGTATTTAGGAAACATCAGTTTGTTCCATATTTTAATAAGAATCAGAAAATCATATAAAATCTAGGAACATGGAAAGTTTTTTAATACAGAAAACCAGGATACGAGGTTTTAACTTGATTCTGCCCTAAGGTTATTTAAGTGTAGAATAAAGTTTTGTTTTGTTTTCTTTGAGTTTTTTTTTTCTTATTTATTTATTTTTTGGTTTTTCGAGACGGGGTTTCTCTGTGCAGCCCTGGATGTCCTGAAACTCACTCTGTAGACCAGTCTGGCCTCGAACTCAGAAATCTACCTGCCTCTGCCTCCCAAGTGCTGGGATTAAAGGCCTGCGCCACCACTGCCCGGCTCTGTTTTTGTTTTTAATGTAAAGAAAAGCAGGAAGCCAGATTCATCTGTGAAAGACTCCTCCAGTGGTTCCAATTGAGGTTTGCTTTGGCCAGGTCAGTCTTGAGGACAAGGTCTCTCTGGGCTGAGGTAGCAAAGAGTCACAGTGACGTGGAGGGTACCTACCAGGTTCTCTTCACACAGTTCTCTGAACTGGTAGAATTTCTGCGCCATGAGAAGTTGGGCACTGCCCACCGCGGTTCGGATTTTCCCTAGAACTGAAAAGAGCAGACACAGAAGTTTACATGATGCCTCATTGTTGAGACTCTGTCTGGTAAATACAACACAGAGAAGTTATGCAGTCATGATTTGAAAAAAAAAAAACAGCCCACACAGCATGGCCACGCCCACCCAGAAGGGTACCCTATTGGTCCACGAAACCTGGACTGTTGGGTTCAAGCAAAACTGTCAACTTGGAAAAACATAAGTTCACTGTGCTTGTTTCTTGGGAGAACTAGAGTTTTCTGTCACAGGACTGTGCTGTTCCACAAGGAGGGACCAACAGCGTTCCTTCCACTATGCAGACGAATGTGTGTTTCTCCGTGCAGTTTCAGGTTTATCCTGATTTACTGGCTTGATTTTCCAATTCGTCCTCAAAAACAAAGAAAAGCAATGCCAGCTGGGAGGGAGGAATCTCTCAGCACTCACCCTATCCAATCCGTAATCCGGTGTTTTCCCGGGAGACCCGCCACTGGCATTTGCTGACAAGTGAATTTCCTAGGGAGTTATGAGGGTCAGCCTGTTGCCTGGGGAACACCAGCCAGTTCCAGCCCCCTTTCCACTTTACAGCCCCCTTTCCTATTAACGTCGGTCGGTTTGGTGTGCAGCTTTCCCCTTTGCCAGAAAGCTACTTCCGGTCTCAGTGAACCTTTTGAACGCTTCTGCAGGGGCCCGAGTCTGAGTGCCCCCCAGGGCTCCCCGGAACCTGCAGCTGCAGCTACCTTATGCCTAGGTTTCACACACCTTCCTCCTGTACCCGGGAGAGCAGAGACCTCGCACAGTAGAAGATTAGAGAGAACGTAGACTCTTGGCTGGTGGAACTCTCCTGGCTCAGACAGTATGTGGGAATCTAGTTCCTTTTCCAAACCACACTCCCGGAAAAGTCAGGAGAAAACAAAGAAAGTGGTAGGTATTGCCCAGGGCTTTCTAGTAATACGCTATATTGGATTTACAATGCTGGGTTAGACCAGAGTTCACCATTCACACTCTTGAGTTCTGCTCAAATATTTCAGCATACACACCTGTAAGTCAGAGCATTTCTAAATCCATATGACCCCAGTCATGCCAAACTGCTTGGGGACACTCATTTGCAGTCTCTGTCACATCATAGCAACACCCTTACTGGCAGCTACAAGCCCTGACATAGAAGCTTTCATTTTTTTCTGATCTGTGTTTAAAATCCTCTTAGACAGTTGCTGTCTTCCTCTTCATTGAAAAATCAGGTGAGTGAGGTCTCTTGTTATTATTACTATTATTGTTGTTGTTGTTGTTTTATTATATTAGCAGCTGCAGTGGCATATAAGATCTACATAGCCTTGACTGTCCTGGAACTCCTATGTACAGCAGGCAGGCTGCCCTCATACAGAGACTGGCCTGCCTCCGTCTCCAGAGTGCTGAGATTAAAGGCATGCTCCACCACACCCCTCTTGTTCTTCCTTTCTTGGTACCTCAAAGTAAAGTCGATAGGGTGAGCCTAAAGTTCAGAGTTCAGGCTTCTTTAACAAGTTTTGAGGATGAATCAGTCAGGAAGAGGCCATCTGTCACCCAGGGTGATCTCCCACTCACAGTGTAGACAAAGATAACATCAAATTCCTGATCCTCCTTGTCTTCACTTCCTGAGTGTTAGAATTATACTCATCTCCCACAACACCTGGTCTGAAAGTGTCCCATACTCCTTGAAAAATAAATACTAGTAGAAATAAGAAGTTAAAAAGCAAAAGGCCAGACTGGAGAGATGGCTCAGCAGTTAAGAGCACTGACCGCTCTTCCAGAGATCCTGAGTTCAATTCCCAGTAACTATATGGTGGCTCACAGCCATCTGTGATGGGATCTGATGCCCTCTTCTGTTGTGTCTGAAGACAGTGACTCATATAAATAAAATAAATAATAAATCTGAGAAATGGAAGAAAGATGCATCATGCTAATGTTTGGACTCTGCACTGTAATGTCCAAGGTCAGTACTCAGTGGTGCAGTTAATCAAAAGAAATATTAGAGAGTTCTGGGGCGGGCCCAAGCACAAGGCAACTTTCCAAGGCCACTCTCAAATTCACTATTGTTCTGCAGCAAGGTGTCGATATTAACCTCAAAGCAGAGGCCTGGCCCTCAAGGCCAAAGCCAAGGTCAAAACAGTCAGAGGAGCCTGGAAGAACCTGTGGAGTCTAGTCATGGAGCAGGGACAAACCTGGTAGGCTCTGGATTCATTCACCCAGTCAGCAAATACTAGTGAGGGTACACTAGGCAGGTATATGACAGTGGTCAGCAAAACCCCTCTCATACCTGCTCTCTTGGGCTTTGCATCCTGGTAGAGAGCACAAGGAAAAAGCAGGGGGAAGCAGATGTGCTGAGAGAAAGAGAGTCTAACTCAGCACAAATGTGCTCCGTCCAGAACATGGGAAAGCTGGCTCCAGCTTAAACAGTTTGTCTTTTTTTTTTTTTTTTTGGTTTTTCAAGACAGGGTTTTTCTGTGTAGTTCTGGCTGTTCTGGAACTCACTCTGTAGACCAGGCTGGCCTCGAACTCAGAAATCCGCCTGTCTCTGCCTCCCAAGTGCTGGGATTAAAGGCTTGTGCCACCACCGCCCAACCAACAGTTTGTCTTGAAACAGTCACACCACTGCTTTCTCTTTAGTTACTTTATCTACCTCGATAACTCTATGCACACCATTGATAGTGTGCACGTGTGTGTGCATGAATACGTGTATCATGGTGCATCCATAGAGTTCTGAGGTCAACAAGTGGAGTCTGTTCTCTCTTTCGGTGGGGAGAGTCCTGTGGGTCCTGAGGACTAACTTCGGGTCTTCAGGCTTGGTAGCAGACACCTTGAACTGCTGAGCCATCTCACTGGCTCCCTTGTTTTATTATTGAGGTGGTTTGAATTTGCTTGGCACTATTAGGGGGTGTGGCCTCATTGGCATGGGTGTGGCCTTGATAGTGGGTGTGGCTTTGTTAGAGGAAGCCTATCACTATGAGTGTAGGCTTTGAGAACTTGCTCTTAGCTGCCTGAGGATGCTGGTCTTCTATGTACAACTCTCAGCTCCTCCAGTGCCATGCCTGCCTGGATGTTGTCATGCTTCCTGCCATGATGATAATAGACTGAATGTCAGAACCTGTAAACCAGTCCTAAGTAAATGTTGTCCTATATGAGTTGCCTTGGTCATGGTGTCTCCTCATGGCAATGGAAACCCTAAGAAATTTATTTATTAATTTTTTGCCACTATTTTAAAATTTGGAAACAAAGTAAAGTATTTTCAAGGACTTGATAATTTTCCATTCAAAGAAAGCAAATATATATATATATATCTCCCCCCCCTGGCTATCCTGGAACTCACTCTGAAGACCAGGCTGGCCTCGAACTCAGGAATCCTCCTGCCTCTGCCTCCCAAGTGCTGGGATTAAAGGCTTGTGCCACCACTGCCTGGCTTTGTTGTTGTTGTTGTTATGTATGTTTTTTATCCCTCAGAGTCTTACAGCTCAAGTGTGGGTTCTTTTCCCTTGACCCATTTCCCTTTTTTCCTTGTGGAAAGTATTAGAGCAGAGCTAAAATAGAGAGAGACTCTCCCAGACTATTACTGATGTCACTTAGGTAGCCTTTGGTCATAGAAAGGTAAGAAGTAAGAGCCTTTTAAAATGCACACAAAGGGCTGGAGATGGTGGTCATGCATTTAATCCCCGCACTTACAGAAGCAGCTAGATCTCTGTGAATTTGAGGCCAATCTGGCCTGCATAGTAAGTTCCAGGATAGCCAGGTGTACACAGCAAGACCTCGTTTCAATAAATAGATATATATTTTATTTTTTAATTTTATGTTCATTGGTGTTTTACATGCACATATGTCTGCCTAAGGGTATCAGAAGCCCTGGAACTGGAATTACAGACAGGTGTGAGCTGCCATGTGGGTGCTGGGAATTGAACGTGGATCCTCTGGAAGAACAGCCAGTGGTCTTAACCACTGAGCCATCTCTCTAGCCCCATAAATACATAAGTGAAAAATGCACAAGAAAGAACACTGGATTTGACCCATCCCACTACCATACTTGAGATACTGTGGGCTAAAGGGACAGAGAATTCCTCTGAATTTTAGGGTTGAAGACTGTATGCTCCTGAGGTTCTGGGTAGTTGGCCTCCTTTACATGCAGGCTTATGTAATCTTTCTAGATGTTTAACTGAATATGGTACTGTTGTGTACACACTGAATGCCCCCTAGAGGCTTATGCCTTGAAGGCTATTCCATAGCCTATGGGGCTACTGGAAGGTGGTAGACACATGGGGAATTGGGCTTCAGTGGAAGGAACTCGGCTGCTAGGAGGTACCCAAGCAGGGGACACTGGTACTCCAGTCCTTTTCTTTCCTTTGCTTCACAGCTGCTAGGAAGTGAGCAGCCTCCTCAACCATGGTGTGCTGTGCCGCAGAGGGCTCTAAACAACAGGGCTAAGCGACTGACCGTGGACTGAACCTTTTCCTTTCCTGTGACTTGTTCTCCCCGGGTCTTTTGTCACAGCTACAGAAAGCTAACAGAAATGGTTAACGGTTGTTGCTGTCCCTGTTCCTTAGAACACACGCAATGAATGCATCTTCTAAATTAACTCTCTCTGCTCAGTTCCCCAGGTATCCTATTGAATGAGGCTTATACCACCTGTCTGTGTGACACTTCAACACCCCATAAGTCTTATTTTGCTCTGCTGTCCTTACGGAGGTAAGCATCATCCCCAAAGCCTCACTGAGCAGTTTGTGGATCTTTTCTCTCTTTTCCTTTCTGCTTGCTGGTATTTCTCTCAGGGGGAGAAAGCAAATGACAGCAGCTCCTGATGTTGAATGAAATCTCTTCTACTTGAGTGAGTGCCTAGGGGCCACCTCAGCAGGTGGTGGCTCACAGCTGCCTATGACTCCTGCTCCAGAATAATCAAGCTCTTTGGGCACCTGAGTTTGCACATTAATACATAACTTGAAAAATAGATCTAAGGAAAGATGTGGGCCAGCTACTTCTGAACTCCCGCTTACAG